CAACTGTAGGGTGGACAGGGGCACACCAACTGTAGGGTGGACAGGGGCACACCAACTGTAGGTTAGTCCCCATCATCCCGAAAGCTCCGGCGCAGACTCAGAACCATGTGGAGTAGGTGCGGCCTTCCTGTCCAAGAAGGAGAGGCAGCAGGTAAGCCTGGAGACATTAAGAAGGAAACTGAGGCTCTCTGTGGGGGAAAATTACATCCCACGCCCTTTAAGAGTTTGCGTAGTAGCCCTGTCACCTCTGAGAATGGAGAAACACTCACATTCCTAAGGCAGTGCTTCCTGAGTTCAAATCATGTGGCAAAAAGTTAATGAAATGTAGGCAGGTATACAGGTGGACTGGATACTCCAGATATGGCCGCACAAAAGAAGAAAGGTCTTTTCCCTCCCTTTACCTCAGTTGCCTATGAGGAGTGCTCCCTCCATCAGAGCGACTGAGAAGGAGGACCTCGAGAGCTGCCATGACACGACTGGCTAGCTCCCATCCAGCACCACGCCTACCACCAGCAGACAAGACAGAGCTCCGTTCCTGTCCTCTAACTCGCACCAAGTTAGATAACTCATCAGATTCCGTTTCCCATTGAATTATGGTTCCTTGCAGCCACCAAGATGAAGGGGCTGCTGTCAATCACTTCTTCCCAGGCTAGGGTATTCAAAGCGCTGGTCCCATCTGGACCTTGCTCCTCCATCTGCAGCTGCCACGCAGCGAGGAAACTGAGTGACGGTTCTTCTTGTTCTGACACAGCTGACCGGACTTTCAAATGCACACATGGCAGGCTGCTTCTAGCAGGAGCCCAGGGGTCCAATGCTGTGGAGATGGTCCTTTATAATCCTGAGGAAATCATCAGCGTGTCAACTGCGAGGGATGCCCTAGACTCAGAGGAGCCCATGGCATCCTCAACAAAGAGCCCATGCTCAGAGGCAAGTTAACACAGCCCTGTTGAGAATCTAGCCTCTCCCAGCAGGGAGCCAGCCGGCCATCCTAAAAGGGCCTTTGTGTCCCATCTTATCGGGAGCTCCCTAGGCTCTCAGTAGGAAACTGTGCTCCAGTTCAGAAGTAAAAATATTCCAAATCATTAGGGAATTCCCTGCCGTGTGAGTCATCGGAAAGGCTTCCCCACCACACCCACCCAAGGTTTCCACACAGCCAGCCTGCAGGTCTCAAGCGGCTCCACTGGCTGCAGGACGCTGCTGCCACCACAGGCCCACAGGCCAGGGTAGGGGCTGAGCCACTGTTTCCAGCTAAAGTTTGCTCAGGAGCAGAGGAGCATCCTGGGATATGTTTTCTACCTCCTCCGCACAGTGGGGCAGGAGGCTTCACCCTTCCTGGTCTGCATCTGCATCACACCATCCTCGAGAGAGGGGCGGGTCCAAACATCCCAGCATGGTGAAGCCCCAGGATGGATGTGTTAGGAGGTTGGGGGAGCACAACAGAGCTGCACTTCTGAGAGGCTCTGAGCATGGACAGCCTGGTATGTGTGTGGGTTTTCTAACCTTCCATGGACCATGCAGATATGTATCCCTTGGGTTCCTGCTGGTGAAACTCCTTCAGCCAATGCCCTTTGAGATGCCCTGTTTTTCTCCGGTTAGGAGGGCAGCTTTGCCCTCCTCAGCAGTACCCCAAGGTCGACCAAGACTGCCCAGCATTTTGGAAAACAGCCTGGTGGCACTGGCTAGCTGAGGACAGAAACACACCCAGGTATGTGCCAGGAGGAAGGCACAGACACTCACAGAACCTTGTTTGTGAACACTCACAACAACTTCATTCATGGCGATCACAGAGAGTGGAGTAACTCATGCCTGTCTGCTGGGCAACCTGTCTGTGCGGCCTGGCCACAGGGGGCTACCGGTCAGTCAAAGAAATGAGCAGAGCACTGGGATCTACTACTAGGGGCATGAAAATGCCATCCTGTGACAGAAACAAGACAGCAAAACACAGACACTCTCTTGATGATACTGCCAAAAAGTATCCCAGAGGTAAATCCACAAGGTGTGTGGAGGGAATGGCGGGCATTTGGATGGGGAGGAGAAGAGCTGATGGCTTCTCAGGCTCTTTGTGGCTAACACAGACCACCTGAAGTTTGTGACTCAGCAGCCACTCCGTCCCAGGGGAGAGGGGGCGCTGGTAGTAATGGTGCCATGCGGGAGTCTATGTGGAAGAGGATTCACAGTTAGGCAGGATGCCAGAGGGCTGAGGAGCAGGCTTGCCCTTCACAACAGGTTGCTTGGCTAACCAGCACTTTGGTCGCTTGCAGGGTAACCTCCCCACTTCACACACACACACACACACACACACACACACACACACACACACCCCTATCCTTCTCACTAGACTCCACCCCATGAAGTCCAGCGTCTTCCACACAACCACTCCAATGAGTCCTTCCAGTACCAGAGTGTCAGAGACACACCCAGTCACACCTGTACCAGTGCTCACGGAAAAGGGACCTCTCTCGTCAAGATGAAAGCATCCTGGGCACAGAGCAGACAGCATAAAGCCACGGGAACTGCACCCATGAGAGATCTGGTTGTTTGTCATCTACAGGCACTGGGCAGAAAGGTATAACCCAGTGGGACTGTGAGTCCGACGGCCAAATGGGATCCTACAACCCTCAAGGGAGAAGATGGTCAAGGGCCAGCTGCTCATTTGTAGGGACCCTGTTTGGCTTCCATCACACTGTCCATGAAGCCCACCAGTGATATACAGCGTGTACACAGCTTGTCAGCACCAGGAGCTAAGGCAGACCCCTCCTACCATGGAGGCCTCTGGACAGAGTCTAATTTCTGAATGCCCAAGGTGGGTCTATCATTGCCTTTCCAATTCATTTCCACCTAAGGCTCTTAGAAATGTTGTCTGCAAAAGATTCTGGGTCCAGTCCCCCAGCTAACTTTACTCACTGGGGCAGTGATTTCTGGAACCATGTAGAGCTGGGCATGTCTGTGAGGCAGATCTTCAAGGGTGCTCTCTCCCCAAATCTTGCTGAGTGACCGTGGACGGTAGCCACGTGGAGCCTTGCCTGACCAGGTCAGCACAGTGGTATTTTTATGCCCATGATGAAAACAAGCACATGCGCAGAGGGCTGATGACGTACAGAGCCAGGGAGCAGACACTGTCCTCTGATCTGGCCCACCCCAGCACCACGGCCAGAGAATTGGAAAAAGGAAAGCATTTTCCTACAGCTGGTCACGGCTTCAGGGTATGTGTAACGCCTACAGCTGACCCTGAGACACCCAGTGAGTAAAAAAACCCAGGGTAGCTACATCTGGGGGACTTTCAGAAGTTCTTGGGGAAGCAGAAGAGAAGAGTTCTCTGTGGCCACATGGCTTGAGGCACGGGGATTACAGATGGCAGGAGACTGCCTGGCGATAGGAACTGTAGGAACATCACTTCCATCCTCGCGGTAGATGAA